CGAGCACGGGAGGGACGGTGAGACCAGACGTGCGACGGAGGAGTCGGGTCAGGAGACAGAGGAGGGGACACAGGAGGGGAACGGGGGGGGAGACGGGCAGGGGACGAGTCCGGCGGAGGGAAGACGGGGCCGTAGACAGGAAGAGGAGGAGACGGTCGGGGAGGAACCGACGTAGGGTCGGGGGACGGAAGGCCGAGCAGGCGAAGGGCTGACACCGGCGGGGACTGCTGCTGCGGCGGCACAACGGCGACACCTAGACCGCAAGCTGCTCCTCGGCTACAACCGGCACTCTCCACACCAGCACCCCCAGAGGGACCACCCCCAGGGCTACCGGGACGAGCACCCCCAGAGTCAGCGAACGGGTGCTGCGACGGCGGCGGCGGCGGCGGCGGCGGCAGAGGCGGTGGAGGGGGGGACTGGGGAGGGGACGCCAGGGGAGGGTCGGGCGGCGAGGACTGAACAGGAGGGCCACCAGAGTCAGAAGACTCCTCAACCGGGTCCATCGACGGAAGGGGGGTGACGTGGGACACACCAGAGGGGGCGGGACGGGGAGGAGGAGGAGGAGGGGCAGGGACGACCGGGGAAGGAGGGACCAGGAACAGGGGGGGGGTAACCGGGGGACCACGGTGGGGGAAGCGACGGTAGTAGGAGACAGACTCGTCAAAGGTGACGTCACGAGAGTGAAAGAAGCGGTGAGACGGCGGGTGGTAAAAGTGCCAGTCGGGCGCGTCAAGGGGAAAACCGAGGAAGACGCAGGGAAGGGTGCGGGCAGTGAGCTTGTCCGTGCCGGAGGCACGGACGTGAGCAAGGCAGCCCCAGACGTGGAACACAGACGCGTCACCAGGAGACCCAGTCCAAAGACGGGTCGGCGAAACCTGCGGCTGCTGATGGTGCGACCACAAGTTAAGCTGGTGAGAAGCGTAGCGCACAGCGAACGACCACAGAAAATGGGGTGCACCGGCATGGATCATGGAGGTGCGAGCCACCTCCATGACCAAACCGATGCGTTGCTCAGCGACCCAATTCTGCTGTGGGGAGTCCGGTAGGGTGAACGTCTAGGTGATGCCCTCCGCACGACAAAAGCGACCAAGGACACCTGAGGCAAACTCACCACCACGGTCTGAGTGAAGACGCAAGACAGGGAGACCGCGGTGGACACGCGCAGAGACAAGCCAGGGGATGAGAGCTCCAGGCACGTCGGCCTTGCGCTCCAGGGGAAAGACCGTGGTGTAACGAGTGAAGTCGTCGACAAGCACAAGGAAGTAGCGCTCTCGACGCGGCCCAGGGACGGGGGCGGGGCCCCAGACGTCCAGGTGCAGGGTCTGCAGCGGCGCGGCAGTAGGGGGAAACGAGGAGGAGTGAGGGGCACGGCGAAGCCGACCCTCGACACAAGGCGTGCAAGGTGGGGCTGGGGAGGAGGGAAACGCGGGGAGGGAACCTGGGAGACCAAGGACAAGACCGTGCTGGGACATGTGACGCAGACGCGGGAGTGCAGGGTGACCTAGGCGGTGGTGCCAAAGGAGGGTCGGGTGAGTGAGGGACCGACAGGAGCAGGCAGCAGCAACCTGGGTGAGCGCTCCAGCCGGGGGGGTCACGATGTCCAGAGTGAACAGGCCGGACACCGGGTCCCGGGGGAACGTGGACAGGGGGGCACCCGTGGCGGCCTCGGTACAGACAGCATACCGCTCGTGACCAGGGAACGTAGTGGTGACGCCAAGGTCCTGGAGGCAGCCGACACCAACTAGGTTCCTGGAGAACGAGGAGATATGCAGACCTGTGAGAGTGCCCGAAGGAACCGCCGGACAGGGAAGGGTGGTGGAACTGCGGGCGACTACCGGACCGCCGGAGGGGTCAGCAAGAGAAACAGCAGCTGGAACAGGAAGCGGCGTCAGGGTGGTGGAGTCGCGGAAGAAACACCGAGAAGCGCCAGAGTCCAAGGTGAAGGAAAGCGAAGCAAAGGCGTCTGGCGACGGAACGACGGCGGAAGCACCAAGACTACACAAAGCACGGGATCCTACGCCTGACGCAGCAGGGGAGGCTAAGCTAGGCACACCTACACTAGGCAACAGTGAGTAATAGGCGGGAAGCACACTAGAGTCATCAGCATACATCACATGCAGAGCAGAAACAATGGCATCCATGTCCATGTCAAAAATCTGAATCTTACGACTAAGCAAACTGTGCCAGTCCGGGAGGTCTGGCGACGGCCCGAAGCGCTGACGAAACAGGTCGTCCAGGCGACGAAAACAGCGGGGAGTGGAGTGGCCGATCTTACCGCAAACGAAGCCGTGGCGAGGACCGGTCTGGATCTGGTACTGACAACGCCCGCCGCCAGAGCCACCACTCAGCACACCACCACGCGCCCGGCCACCGCCAGCGCCTGGCCACCCAGGCGGGAGGACACTCGTCTGCCGCGTCTGCGACGGCTGCTGCGGCTGCTGCGAAGGCTGCGACTGCGGCGGCTGCTGCAGCTGCTGCAACTGCAGGGGCGGCGGCTCAGCTGGACTGGGCAGGGCCCCCTCGTCCGCTCCAGCACCAGACGACCCGACCCCACCACTACCCCCTCCCGCACCCCCGCCGCCGCCGCCGCCGCCGCGCCCAACCTTGGGGCGGCGGCCCTTCCCCGAACGAAACTGCGCTGCAGCAGCAGTCTCAGCCACTGCGGCAGAGCCGTCGGAGAAGGTACACTGGGCGGGGGCACAACCCTGAAAGATAGGGACCGGCACGACACCGCTCGCCTGGGCGATGGAGCGGTGACGGGTCTCTATCACAGTCAGGGTGTCTACAAAGTCAGTGAGGGTGAGGTCTGCGGGGTGGATGCTAAGGAAGCGGTCGCGGGCGACAGCAAGGCGGTTAGGGAGGCGGGTGGCAAGCAGGTAGAGGGTAGAGGTAATAGGCGGCTGGTGTGCTCTAAGCTGTGCATCAGTGCTGGCTGCGCGCCAGGTCTCATCTATCGAGCGCAGGTGGGCAGCGAGGTCAGAGACAGTGGGGAAAGATGCAACGTCAGGGAAGAGCATCGGGAGGATCAGGCGACCCACCGAGGCAGCCGGAGGGGTGGAATAGCGCTGGATGACAGCATCTAAGTATGCTTGAGCGGTAGTGAGAGACCGAAAGCGTGGGCGCTCGGACGGGGGAAGGGCGTTGCTTATGGCAAGCTGGGCGACAGCATCGCGAGAAAGCCAGACAGAGCGCGCACGGGCAGTGGCAGCAATGGACTCGCGCTCAGTGGGTGTGGAGTCAGCGGGCAGAATAGCAGGGGGGTCTGGGCAGGGGAGCGTACCGTCAAGGTGTGCGGAAAGCGGTTCACCATCCTGCCGCTGGCCAGTGAGTTGGCGACGGAGGTCGGCAAGCCACGCCTCGAACTCCAGAGGCTGGCCTTCAGCGTCGAAGCGAAGCTCCGCCGCCATCAGGAACAGTGCAGTGCGGTGCAGGGCAGTGCAGCTAGGTGGAGTACGGTGCTGTGTGGTAGAGTGCGGTGCAGTGCAGTGTAGGGCGGTGCAGTGCGGTGCCAGGCAATACAGGGTGGTGCGGGGCGGTGCAGTGCGGGGCAGTACGGTGCAGGGCAGTGCAGGGCAGTGCAGTGCGGGGGGGGGGGGGAGAACCGTACCAGTGAGGAGGACCGGGGCCGGGGCAGGGACGAGCGCAGGGGCCGGGCCGGTGCAACGGGGCCGGGCGGGTGCGACGGGGCCGGGCGGGCGCGACGGGGCCGGGCTGGTGCGACGGGGCCGGGCGGGTGCGGCGAGGCCGGGCTGGTGCGACGGGGCCGGGCGGTTCGACGGGGCCGGGCCGGTGCGACGGGGCCGGGCGAGCACGACGGTGGCCCAGGAGGGGCGCACCGGGGCTGGGCGGGCGTGACGGGGCCGGACGGGTGCGACGGGGCCGGGCGGCTGCGACGGGGCTGGGCAGGGGGCGACGGGGCCGGGCGGGTGCGGCGGGGCCGGGCGGGCGTGACGGGGCTGGGCTGGTGCGACGGGGCCGGGCGGGTGCAACGGGGCCTGAAGGCGTGACGGGGCCCAGGGGGGGGGCTCGACGCGGCCCAGGAGGGGCGCTACAGGGTCCCAGGAGGGGCGCGACGGGGCCCAGGAGGGGCGCTACGGAGCCCAGGAGGGGCGCGACGAGGCCCAGGAGGGGCGCTACGGGGCCTAGGAGGGGCGCGAAGGGGCCCAGGAGGAGCGCTACGGAGCCCAGGAGGGGCGCGACAGCGCCTGGGAGGGGCGCGACGGGGCCTAGGAAGGGCGCGACGGGGCCCAGGAGGGGCGCTACGGAGCCCAGGAGGGGCGCGACGAGGCCCAGGAGGGGTGCTACGGGGCCTAGGAGGGGCGCGACGGGGCCCAGGAGGGGCGCAACGGAGCCCAGGAGGGGCGCGACAGGGCCTGGGAGGGGTGCGACGGGGCCCAGGAGGGGCGCTACAGGGCCCAGGAAGGGCGCGACGGGGCCCAGGAGGGGCGGTACGGGGCCCAGGAGGAGCGCGACGGTGCCCAGGAGGGGCGCTACGGAGCCTAGGAGGGGCGCGACGAGGCCTGGGAGGGGCGCGACGGGGCCCAGGAAGGGCGCGACGGGGCCCAGGAGGGGCACTACGGGGCCCAGGAAGGGGCGCGACGGGGGTAGGGGGGTCGCGACTGGGCTAGGGGCACGATGGGGCTAGGAGGGAGAGCGGAAGCGGTAGGTGGGGGGGGGATCCTAACCTACGCGTGATACCATATCAAAATTAGAGAAGTGTTGATAGAGTGAGAGTACACACAGATATACCTAAGTGTTGTACCCTCTAAGAGGCTACCCTATACAGTCTATACAAACATGACAAATACACATGTTTGATACAGCTCTCATACCATGTTGGGCTGAGAAAAGCCCTTAGGATCTTTCCAGAGACGAAGTCCCAGTTGAAGAATGAGACTTGAGTAGTGCAGCGGAAGTTGAGTAGTTGAACCCTTGTACTAGTATATGAGAACAAGTGATTGATTAAAGAAACAAGCATACAGCAATATATAGAAAATAGGAAAGCAAAGCAGTTCTAGAATACAGTTGCAGGAGCGGTTATCGAGTCGCACAGCGACTCGATTGTCGCTTCGGTTACCATTCGTGCAGTTGTAACGGTCAGTCGCAACCTCCAGTTGCGACCTTTCGAGTCCCTTTGCGTTCTTTGTCCATCCCCTCGTGTAACCTCCGTTGACTCGCGTACCCGTTGCGATCTTCCTCGAGTGTAGTGTTACACTTCAGAAACGCTCAAGTCCTTTGAGGTATTTCCAACAGACTTATTCGACGTACAGAGAGCATTGTAAAATGACATGCTCGATTGCTAGGTTTGTTTATTAGGGCATTGTGGCATGGCACCATGCCAGGCGTGGCATTTTCATGCAACAGACCACTAATTGTGTCGGCCTGCCTGTGCCTCCTGTTGCCGCACAGGATAGAAATAAGGATGGGCCTGCAAAGGGAAACGGCAGCAGAAAGATACGGGAGCACGAAAGTGGGGCAACGCAGAAGTGAGGTACGGCATCAGGTGACACAAAGACGACTGCTGCATCCCCAACCACCATAGCCTTATCATGGTCTCTGCACCACCCACCCCCAACGGCTTCCAAAGAAGTGAGCCTGTCCTGGTGACAGCAGCAGCTTCCAGCAGGTCCACTGCCCAGCCCTACCAACAACCATTCACCAGCCAGCCCTATTCATGCCGCAGCAGCAAAATAGACCTCCCTGTTGCCACGCACCATGGCTTCCCTGGCGGTGAGCCTGTCCTGGTGGCCTTGCCGCAACAGCTTTTCCAGAATCTAAACAGCTCAGCTTTAAAAGCCCCTACACAAACGAGACATACCAATGTCGCAGCAATACCAAAAAACCCACCACCCACCGTGGCCTCTACACTCACCATGGCCTCTCGTGCTGTGAGCCTGTCCTGGTGGTCATACCGCAGCAACTTGTCCAGAAAGTCCACCGCCTGCCAGCAAGGCGGGCAGAAACCAACGCAGCAAGGTTCAAAACGAGGCATATTGGGGGGACCAATAGGTCAAGGAACAAGGCGGGGGGCATAAGCGACCAAGGAGGGGTGCATATGAAAGCAGGGGGGGATGAAGAACAAGGTAGGGGAGGTCAGGGAACAGGGCAGGGGGCAGCAGCAGGCTGCACCAAGAAAGGACTGTGCAGTGGACTGAGACGGACTGAGACAGTTTACTAGGTGACACCAGGTGCCGATTCCATGTGATTGAGTCAAAGTGACAACACGAAGGATACCTCTGGTGACACGAGGTGCTGGTTCTCGCTGTTGACGAACTTGGACCACGGCTTGCGGCTGTGCCGCCCCACCAGTGCCTCCAGGTGCGGGTCCAGCATGATGCTGTACTTGCCCAGGTAGCTGTTCAGCTCGTCCGTTCCTAGCACCTGGTGGAGTGGGGCCGTACGGGGGGGTTGGCAATAGCTTGTGAGCGTGGAATGACACTACACAGGTGTGCCTCCCTCCAGGTGCGGGTCCAGCATGATGCTGTACCTGGCCAGGTAGCTTTTCAGCTCGTCCGTGCCCAGCACCTGCAATGTGGGGGATGGGGAGCAAAACCATTGAAGTGCAATCAGATGTGTGTGGGTTCACCAGCGCCTCCAGCTGTGGGCCCCGCACCTCTTCAGCCCGGATCCGGGCCCGGCCACCCGGATACCTGTTCAGCTTGTCGCCCAGCACCTGCAATGCGGCCCAAAATAAAACTGAAACACACTACGGGGGTGTGACGAAAAGCATACAGAGTGCGCGTAGCATAATTTCCTACCAATCCTGGTGCCAGGGCTGGTAAGCATCAAACTGGCAAGGCAGACGCTGGCGATTGTAGTAGCCACGGAAGATTATTCCGAGGTCGGCCGAGTAGACCAGCTCGTTGAAATCAGCGGTCGCGTCTGACATCTTTCGTGGTCCGCATGTGACAGCGCGTCTACAAGCACAGTGCCTTGGCCCGCCCACAGCCACAGACGCAACGCAAGCAACGGATCTCGAGGCGCCTTAGAACAATTGACTCCCATTCGCAAGCATGCAATGCAGTTACCTTGGCGATTTTGACAAGCTGGTCGTAGTTGTCATGGCCGTAGAAGAAGGGCTCCTTGCGAAAGATCTGAAAATGGTGGGGTGGGGGACAAGGGAAGGGCGAGCAATGGCCCGCCCACAGGAATAGGAAGGGGAGGGTGGGGAAGAGAGAGGGGGAGGGTGATGGTCAATAGAGGCTGTAGACGGATGGCTCTAAGCCATGGGGGAATTTGAAGGGGAAGAAAGAAGTAGTGGGGGAAGTAAGCAGGCAGTGAGGACGGCCGTAGGCAGGGGAGAGGCATGACTAGAGAGCAGAATCGGCATCAATTTACTGAGACGAAGGACTGTCCCGAATGAGGTAATTGGCATTCACAGACTTTGCTGTGCCATGACTTTGCTTTGCTTTGACTTTGCTTTGCTTTGCTGTCCTATGTTTTGCAAAAGCGACTATGCCACAGCAGAGCAACCTAGCCACTACAATAACTACCATCCCACCCGCCTCATGCTATACCCATACTCTCCATGCCAGTGAACATGCACCCCAGGGTCAGCATTTCCACCGACCCGCCATAGTCCTGCAGATCCACTCATCGCATGCACCCATACCCACCCCACCCAACCACCATGCCACACGTGCTACCATGCCACGCCATGCCATGCCATGCCATCTCTTTTGCGACCCACCATGCCAGCGAACATGCACCCCAGGCTCCACATGTCCAGCGAGTAGTCATAGTCCTGCAGATCCACCAGGAGCTCGGGACCCTTGAAGTACCTGCAGGGGGCCAGGGGCAGAGCAGCAGCGAAAAGCACGAAGGGAAGAGGGGCAGGAAGGAAAAGGCACGGGGGATACAGTGGTGCTGACGATGACACGTCGCGCAAGTAGTCGTAGTCCTGCAGATCCACCAGCAGCTCGGAACCATTGAAGTACCTGCAGGGTCACAAGAGCACAGGAAGGAGCGGCATGGAAAAGATGGGGGGGATGGGGACAGTGGCCTTGAAAACGCCACATGTCCAGCGAGTAGTCATAGTCCTGCACGTCCACCAGGAGCTCGGGTCGGGACCCTTGAAGTACCTGCAGGGGGCCAGGGGCAGAGCAGAGGAGCAGCATGGAATGTGGTGTTACCATATTACTGCCACGTGCCCAGCCAGGAGTCGTAGGCCTGCAGCTCGGGCCCTTGAAATATCAGCAGGGACTGAAAGGTAAAGGAAAGGAGGGGGGGTGTGGTGGGGAGTGGGGAGGAGAGGAGACGGGCTGTCTAAGGGCTGTCTAAGGCGCATCAAAAGCTTATGAGGCGGAAAGAGCGCAGAGAGAGGGAGAGGGGAGGGGGGGGAAGAGGGAAGAGCCCCACAGCAACCCATTCCTGGAGTAACCAGCCCCACAGCAACCCACGCCTGGAGTAATCAGCCCCACAGCAACCCATGCCTGGAGTAATCAGCCCCACAGCAACCCATGCCTGGAGTAACCAGCCCCACAGAAACCCATACCTGGAGTAACCAGCCCCACAGCAACCCATACCTGGAGTAACCAGCCCCACAGCAACCCATGCCTGGAGTAACCAGCCCCACAGAAACCCATACCTGGAGTAACCAGCCCCACAGCAACCCATGCCTGGAAGAACCAGCCCCACGGCAACCCATGGCAGGACGCCACTCGGCGCCAGTCCTTGACGCGGTGGCAGAACTTGGTGAGCCGCTGGGCAAGCCAGCTTGCGCTGCTCGTCGCTCATCGCAAATTAGGCACCACACGCATGCGGCATTGAGGCATACCTACACACTACACACACCCAACCAAGCGCACCTGGACGCCACGCGCACGCTGCATTCCTTGTTGGGGTTGTAGAACTCGGCAAGACGAGACCCCAGTCGATGAGGCGCAGCTTGTGCTGCCCGTGGTGCAGTGCAATGCGATGCAGTGCACCTAGACACAGCAATTCGTCTCACCTATTCCTTGTACAAACAAAGCTCACCTCGAAGCCACGCGGACGTTGTATTCCTTGTTGGGGTGGTAGAACTCGGCCAGCCCCCAGTCGATGAGGCGCAGCTTGCGCTGCTCGTGGTCGATCATCACGTTGTGCGGCTTCACGTCCCGATGCATGATGCCCTGCGAGTGGCAGAAGTCCAGCGCCTGGAAGGGGAGGGGAGGAAGGTACAAGGGGGATGGGGCCGGGGGGGAAAGCAGAAGGCTTCACATCCCCATGCATGATGCCCTGCGAGTGGCAGAAGTCCAGCGCCTGGGAGGGGAGGGGAGGAAGGTACAAGGGGGATGGGGCCGGGGGGGAAAGCAGAAGGCTTCACATCCCCATGCATGATGCCCTGCGAGTGGCAGAAGTCCAGCGCCTGGGATGAAGGGAAGAGGAGCAAGGGTGCATAAGGAGAGACGGAGCATGAGAGGTAGCTTGCGCTGCCTATGGTGGATCATCAGGTCGTGCGGATTCATGCCCCGGGAATGGCAGAAGCCCAGAACCTAGTTGAGAGGAAAAGGAAGGGGGGTGAATGGAAGGGAGGCTGGGTGAGACAGCAAGGGTGACGAGTGGGTGAAGGCATCGAAACGATGTGCCGTGAGGCATGATGCCCTGCGAATGGCAGAAGCTGAGAGCCTGGTGGAGAGAAAAAGGAAGGGGGGCGGGTGGGTGCATGGATGGAGGATGGGTGGGAAAGCAAGGGTGAGGAATGACAGACGGCATCTGAAAGCCGTGGCGCAATGCATCCTGCCTTTTGAGGGCCTCAGAAGGCGTCTGCATGATGCCCTGCGCGTACCAGAAGCCAAGCGCCTGGCGGGAGCGGAGAGAAGTGAGGGAAGTGATGCAGGAGTAAGCTGGCTTGCAAAAAACAGCAGAAAGACAGGAGCTTTGGAAAGACAGAGGTGGCTGGAAGGGGGGAGGGAGGTCGGATTGGAATTAACTGTCATCATGGCCGGACACATTCACCTCCACGCAACCCCCCACACCACACGGAATCACACGCTCCTTGACCAGCTCCTGCATGTAGTCCCGAATATCGTAGCCCGTCCGTGTGGGATAGAGCACTTTGAATCCATGCCATGGATGGATCAGATGATGTGCACCATCCCATGCACACACACAGCCCCGCGCACCATCCCATGCACACACACAGCCCCGCGCAGCATCCCATGCACACACACAGCCCCGCGCACCATCCCATGCACACACACAGCCCCGCGCACCATCCCATGCACACACACAGCCCCGCGCACCATCCCATGCACACACACAGCCCCGCGCACCATCCCATGTACACACACAGCCCCGCGCAGCATCCCATGCACACACACAGCCCCACGCACCATCCCATGCACACACACAGCCCCGCGCACACAGCCCCATGCACACACACAGCCCCGCGCACCATCCCATGCACACACACAGCCCCACGCACCATCCCATGCACACACACAGCCCCGCGCAGCATCCCATGCACACACACAGCCCCGCGCAGCATCCCATGCACACACACAGCCCCGCGCAGCATCCCATGCACACACACAGCCCCGCACACCATCCCATGCACACACACAGCCCCGCGCAGCATCCCATGCACACACACAGCCCCCCGCAGCATCCCATGCACACACACAGCCCCGCGCTGCATCCCATGCACACACACAGCCCCGCGCAGCATCCCATGCACACACACAGCCCCGCGCAGCATCCCATGCACACACACAGCCCCGCACAGCATCCCATGCACACACACAGCCCCGCGCAGCATCCCATGCACACACACAGCCCCGCGCAGCATCCCATGCACACACACAGCCCCGCGCAGCATCCCATGCACACACACAGCCCCGCACAGCATCCCATGCACACACACAGCCCCGCGCAGCATCCCATGCACACACACAGCCCCGCGCAGCATCCCATGCACACACACAGCCCCGCGCAGCATCCCATGCACACACACAGCCCCGCGCAGCATCCCATGCACACACACAGCCCCGCGCAGCATCCCATGCACACACACAGCCCCGCGCACCATCCCATGCACACACACAGCCCCGCGCACCATCCCATGTACACACACAGCCCCGCGCAGCATCCCATGCACACACACAGCCCCACGCACCATCCCATGCACACACACAGCCCCGCGCACACAGCCCCATGCACACACACAGCCCTGCGCACCATCCCATGCACACACACAGCCCCGTGCAGCATCCCATGCACACACACAGCCCCACGCACCATCCCATGCACACACACAGCCCCGCGCAGCATCCCATGCACACACACAGCCCCGCGCAGCATCCCATGCACACACACAGCCCCGCGCACCATCCCATGCACACACACAGCCCCGCGCAGCATCCCATGCACACACACAGCCCCGCGCACCATCCCATGCACACACACAGCCCCGCGCACCATCCCATGCACACACACAGCCCCGCGCAGCATCCCATGCACACACACAGCCCCGCGCAGCATCCCATGCACACACACAGCCCCGCGCACCATCCCATGCACACACACAGCCCCGCGCACCATCCCATGCACACACACAGCCCCGCGCACCATCCCATGCACACACACAGCCCCGCGCAGCATCCCATGCACACACACAGCCCCGCGCAGCATCCCATGCACACACACAGCCCCGCGCAGCATCCCATGTACACACACAGCCCCGCGCAGCATCCCATGCACACACACAGCCCCACGCACCATCCCATGCACACACACAGCCCCGCGCACCATCCCATGCACACACACAGCCCCGCGCAGCATCCCATGCACACACACAGCCCCGCGCAGCATCCCATGCACACACACAGCCCCGCGCACCATCCCATGTACACACACAGCCCCGCGCAGCATCCCATGCACACACACAGCCCCGCGCACCATCCCATGCACACACACAGCCCCGCGCACCATCCCATGCACACACACAGCCCCGCGCAGCATCCCATGCACACACACAGCCCCGCGCACCATCCCATGCACACACACAGCCCCACGCAGCATCCCATGCACACACACAGCCCCGCGCAGCATCCCATGCACACACACAGCCCCGCGCACCATCCCATGCACACACACGGCCCCGCGCACCATCCCATGCACACACACAGCCCCGCGCAGCATCCCATGCACACACACAGCCCCGCACAGCATCCCATGCACACACACAGCCCCGCGCAGCATCCCATGCACACACACAGCCCCGCGCAGCATCCCATGCACACACACAGCCCCGCGCAGCATCCCATGCACACACACAGCTCCGCGCAGCATCCCATGCACACACACAGCCCCGCGCACCATCCCATGCACACACACACCCCCGCGCAGCATCCCATGCACACACACAGCCCCGCACAGCATCCCATGCACACACACAGCCCCGCGCAGCATCCATGCACACACACAGCCCCGCGCAGCATCCCATGCACACACACAGCCCCGCGCAGCATCCCATGCACACACACAGCCCCGCGCAGCATCCCATGCACACACACAGCCCCGCGCAGCATCCCATGCACACACACAGCCCCGCGCAGCATCCCATGCACACACACAGCCCCGCGCACCATCCCATGCACACACACAGCCCCGCGCAGCATCCCATGCACACACACAGCCCCGCGCAGCATCCCATGCACACACACAGCCCCGCGCAGCATCCCATGCACACACACAGCCCCGCGCACCATCCCATGCACACACACAGCCCCGCGCACACAGCCCCATGCACACACACAGCCCCACGCACACAGCCCCATGCACACACACAGCCCCACGCACAGAGCCTCACGCACACACACAGCCCCTCGCACGCACACAGCCCCACGCACGCAGCCCCACGCACACAGCCCCAACCACAGCAAGACACACCTTGAGCAGCTCATAGATGTAGTATCGGATATCATAATCTGCCAGTGAGGGGTACAGTTAGACTACAGTGCAGCATTGAAAAAGTCCCACGCACACAATCACATCACATGCACAGTAGCGCGCATGCACACAGCAAAACACCCACCTTGAGCAGCTCGTAGATGTAGTATCGGATGTCGTAGTCCGTGAGTGTGGGATAGAGCACTTTGAAGTCCGTGTTGTTCACGTACTCAAACACCAGCGACGGCGTCTTGGACTGCGGGTCGCGCACGATGTCCAGCAGCCGGATGATGTTGGGCCCGCCACACAGGTTCTGGAGAATCTTGATCTCTCGCTTGATCTGATGGGTGCAACATGGGAGAAGAGACGAAAGGAACGACATGGATGAATCTTTAATGCACTTTTCGCAACCAGACCAAACCCCTCCCAGTCACCTTCTTCTTCTTCACTGGCTTGAGGATCTTGATGATGCACTTCTCACTGTTCACCGCGTTGAAAGCACTACTCCCCCCTCCCCCTCCTCTTCGTACATTTTCCCTCCTCCCCCACACCCCCTACCTTTTTCTTCTTGACGGGCTTGAGGATCTTGATGATGCACTTCTCGCTGTTGACCGCGTTGACCCCCTCGAACACCTCGCTGTACTTCCCCCGCCCCACCTTGCGCACCACCTCGTAGTCGTCCTGGTCGCTGGGGGAGGGGAGGAAGGGGGGGAAGGGAGGGTGGGCGGACGGGGGGTTGAGGGGGAGAGAGTGGTGAAAGAGGGGGAGAGAGTGGTGAAAGAGAGTGTAGGGGGAGGGGGAGGAGGGGCAGTGGGGAAAGAGGGCGACAAGAATCATGCAATGCAACTCCCCTGGCTGCTCGTTGACGCAACAGAAGTGGATGCTCGTGGGGTGTCCAGCGAGCTCGGATCTATTCCCGCTCATTTTCAGCCTCTTCAAGGCTTTTCAAGGGCACTCTTCCTGCTCCTGGTGCCACTGAGGCTTGGCTTGCAGACGGCGAAAGCTGTGCGACTCTGACGAGTTAAAGCTTGGACGGTACGCGATGAATGTCGCCTTCATACCTCGCCATCGCCCTACGACGGTTCACTTCGACGGGTGCCTTCATTCATACCCCATCAACGCCAGCAGATTTGAAGTGAACCGTCAAAAGCCGCGCATTAAGAACGATTTGCCGCACCGCTCACTCCTCTGTCGCTAATCGACGCGGTGACCCAAAAAGCGGGTAAACCTAATCGCTAGTGCACCGTAACTTACCCCCACTGCACAGTCAGCGCTTCGTCGTAGTCCCAATACTCCTTGGGCCGCTGCACGTTGACGACGGTGGAACACGGTGGGCTGCGGAGGCCTACTTTCCATCCCACCTGCTCGCTACAACAATTAACTAACTTCAACTTTCCCCCACTGCAGTCAGCGCTTCGTAGTCCAGTACTCGTTAGGCCGCTGCACGTGGAATACACGCGGGCTGCTGAGGCCTATTTCCCATCAAGTTTGTTAATTATTATAATGCGAACTCCAACTTACCCCCACTGCACAGTCAGCGCTTCGTAGTCCCAATACTCCTTGGGCCGCTGCACGTTGACGTCAGCGTATATCCGCGCCTGCGACATATCCCGCGTCTCGTTACGAGTTATTGTTCGTCCAAGGCTAACCCTTAACAAGACTAACCGAGCGCGGTCGACGCGAGTCTGTCAGTCAACGTGAAACGGTCGAGAAGAGACAGTCAGGAAGTGGGTTCAGCCAATGACGACCAGCACACCTAAACACCGAGCTGCTGCCCGTTTCACTGTATGCCTCACTGCTACTTCTTAGATATGGCAATAGACGGCAATGAAGGTATTTAGAGGAAGTGTGTTGCTGGCTCTGATTCGTACTTAGGCGGTGTCGGAAGTAAAACAAATTGTGACGTCAACGGGTGTCACAGGAAGGTAGAGTATGGTATTATTTGTTCTTAGAACGGTTAGAGGACATAAACTCTCGGTTCTGCGACGTCCCGAAACCCTCCGCTCTACTTCCGACACCCCCTTAGAGCAACTAGGGTTGGACCCAGAAAAATGCAGAGCACTGGGGGTGGGCAAAGGAGGAGGGCCCATTCGCGCTATAGAGTGTTTGATAACATTTAGGTTACATACGTGTTTCCCTTTTTCAAGCTTACGTCAAACTATACAAGGGGGAATCTACCAGTGGGATCCAGTGGGGGGGATGGGATCTACCAGGGGGGAATATATGCATATTCCAGGTGATCGTTTTTTAGATACCAGCTGATTTGTTTTGAAATCATGCAATTAGTTCTAAGCGTCACATGCTATAGTTATCGGCGGTTGTGTAGAATTTTGGGATGCATTTGAAGTACACGTCAACCTTGTTCTGGATACAATCGAGTACGCCTGTTTTTTTTGTCGTGCACTAAAGGTTGACTGACGTCCATTTTCAGAGTCGCCATATTGAAGGTCGCCCATTTTCAACAAACGTCGGTAGAGCTTCAGCCACGAACCTCACAGGAGGTCCGGCACGTCCGAGCCCAGCCCACCTCAGCGGGAAAACTGAACCAGAGGTTGGGCCAAACCTGAGGCGTTCGTCAAGAAATCTACGAACCAACCATTTTGACTCGCGAATTTTTGACTTTCCCCAAACCGCATGCCCCGCTGATCTGACCTACATAACCAGCGTCGATCCCCAGTCTTCTCACACACCACCAGCTTCTGTCCTAAGTCATCGTCCTTCAACAGCGTGAAGTTATCAGTCTTCAAGAGTTATCTCTAATCGACATTAGCATGGCGTCCAGGACCTTCCTCCTCGCGTGCCTTCTCCTCCTCGCAGCCTCGTCTGCCTTGGCGCAGCGTGGTCCGCCTGGCGGAGGTCCTCCCGGCGGTCCTGGGGGCCCGCGCGGTGGTCCCGGCGGCCCTGGTGGGTCTGGAGGTAAGGGGCCGCGCGGCCCTCCCCTCAATTTGACGGCCGTCGGGAATTTGACGGCGGACGTTGGCGCGCGACTGGCCAACTGCTCCGCGGACCAGAAAGTCTTCGACGGCCGCTTCCACCTCGCGGTCTTCAAGTGAGCTCCAATGCCTTTCACCTCCCATTCATTCCGCGATATTAACCCTAACTAGTAGTTATGCGCATCTCTTTCCATCGACCTGTTATTCACCTTTTCCAGCTTGAACTGAGTGGGTTGCTAAACATCGTCTCGTCCCCCCACACCCCTCACCCGCCTTCCCTGCCCTCTCCCCCTCTTCCTCCAGAAACTCCTCCGGAAACTACAACCTGCTGGTCGAGGCACTCCTGGTCGACGCGGCCGGCAGTCCGCCCGACTCGCTGGCGATCGTGCAGGGCGCCGTATGCGACGCCGCCGCCACCGCCGTTCTCTCGCTGCCCGTGGCGGCGTCCGACTGGCAGCAGCGCGCCGGCTGGTGGCTGCTGCACGCGGAGGCGCGGCTCGACGCGTTCCTCGAGAACGCGGACGCCGCCACCGTCGACGCGCTGATTGCTGTCCTCCCCAACGCCACTGTTCCGCGCAAGAACGGCGGTGGAGGTGGCGGGGCGGGCGCTGGGGGCGTGAGGAACGGGCAGGGGGGGAGGCGCATGGGGCGGGAGCTGCTGATGCGCGCAGTGGGCAAGCAGGGGGGGAAGAAGCAGGGGGGAGCGCAGCAGCAGCCGCCTGCAGGTGGCTTTTCAGGTGGATTCCCAGGTGGGAATGGCGGAGTGAACAGCACAGTGAGCGGGTATGCTGTGCTGGCTGGCAGCAGCATGACAAGCGTGACGTGGGGCGGGCAGCTCGTGGGGGTCAAGATGCCCGCGGCTTCTGCTAGTGCTTGATGCATCATTGCCTCGGTGCTACTGCTGCTGAGAAAGCAAGCGCTGTGCTGCTGCTTGATATGGCGCTGGGTGACGCTTCAAGGAAGATAATGCAGAAAATGAAGGTGCAGGCTTTGGCGCTTCTTGGTTTGAGAGCCTGGCTGCAGTGAAGTGCAGTAGGTAGCTTGATGGGTTTCCAGCATCAGGGGCAGGAATGCTGGCGAGTCACGGCTGACTTGATCTCAGAAGTGTCTCTCCAGTCTTCCTACCCTTGGTTTGTTGAAATGGGAATGAAATTGTTGGATTATTGGATTACTATAGCTGTTGCTTGATGTAATTTTTTGAAAGTGTGTAACACTTTCTCAAAATGTGTATTGAGAAAGCTTGCTTTCTTGTCCTTTGCAATAGGCATCGTTCTCATTTCAAGTGGGGCATCGTTCTCATTTCAAGTGGCATGGTACAATAGTCGCTTACTAGCTTATAAGAATCTAAACATACACACATCATGATCCTAGTTGTGTGCTCCCGTGCAAGTGACCGGCTGTCCATTGGAGATGGGCGGTTGTCTAGAGGGGGGGGGTGGGTGGGAAGGTTGACTGAGTCGTTTGAAAAATGAGAGACGTGGGTGGAAGTAAATGAGCTCCAACCCACGTATATGTAGTTGGAGAAGGGCGAGTAGCGCGCTTAGACGATGCCCAACGCTTCAGTACAATCAGCTTCGCTTTCACAATACACAATTTTTGAAAAACACTACGTGTGTTAAAAATTATAATATTGAGAAAGCTTGCTTTCTTGTCCTTTGCAATAGGCATCGTTCTCATTTCAAGTGGGGTCGTTGAGACATGTGCATTGGGGGCTTGCGGTGGCGGAGAAGTGCCTCAGCGTGTTGTGCAGAGGATGGTGCCGCCGCCGGGTCTTGCAGGCGTCGAGACGCGCCAACCAGATGATCGGTCGCGGGCGTGACGTACATCTCTTTCGCGGTTTCACTACGCCAACGGCCCAGGCGTTTGAAGATCCTGTCAGGAACCCCAGAGTTGGCAGCAACTGTGGCCGCGCCTTTCCGAAAGGAGTGGGTGCCGAGGTGCTCTTCTCCCAGACCGATTTTCGCGAAGGCTTCCTTGCACCAGTTGCGGATTGTGGTGTATGAGGGCGGTCTGGCTGTGCCGTGGCTCGGTAGGTGGGGTCCGAAGACCCGGATGAGCGGTCCCAAGGATTGGAGGCTGTATCCTGCGAGTTAGATGAGCCTCTGGGTGCCCTGGACCGGACAAAAGGGTCCAGGGCTTGCCGCGATAGGGATCCAGGTGCCTTGGCCGGCTTGGTCGGTTTTTGAGTGGGGGATGAGTAGCCACATCGCTTCATCTTTAAATTGGATGTCCTGCCATTCGATGGCCACCAGGTCCGAGTAGCGCAAGAAACCGGCGTACATGAGAATCGGGATCAGTCCTTTTTGGAACACAGCCGGGTTAGTTGACTGTAGGAAGGAGGCTGCCATATCGTGGACCTGATGGAGTGAGACTGGCTCTTTAATCCTGTTAGGGCGCGGGCAGTGTCGCTTCGCGAAGTCGCGCACTTGGGAGGTGAAAGGGCCGGTGGTTGGGCATGTTGAGCCTGTCATCCTGTGGGCAAAGCTCACGGCGGAGCATGTGAGCTGAACCACCGACAAGGAGGCCTTGCGTTGGATGACATACACAAGGTAGAGCGCGAGGGTCATGTCCGATGCCGGCAAGAACGTTAGGTTGACCTTCGTGCAGAAGGCGCGGAACTTCACCCAGTAAGGCTCGTATGTTCGGATGGTCGAGTCGGCACGAGAGCGGGCGAGCATGGAAAGCAGGTCATGTTGGAGCTTTGGAAGCATATCTGGGGACAGGCGAGGGAGTCTAGTTAGTCAAATATCACGCGGAGTGCGACGATATTGCTGTTGGGTAATCCTGTGCCTGAGAATGCTTGACTATGTGTGCCGACTGTAAGACACTGGCTGCCGTGTGTAAGAGGGATATGTGCTTGGATGTGTGGGTCCCACGATGGAGGGGAGGGCTGGAGGAGCGGCCACCAGCTTGCGCCAGGCCAGTGTGGGACTATGAGGGTGAGAGATGCGCTCGTGCGTTGTGCGTGATGGAGAACTGCGGGGATGAGTTGGGGCGGTGGGAATGCAAAGCTGTTCTCAGCCGTCCAGGCAAGTGAGAAGGCGTCGGCTACTGTAGCATCGGGGTGGGGGACCTTAGAGCAGAAACGCAGCAGGTGTGCATTTTGGGGGTTGGCGAATAGGTCAATGGAGTGGGGCCCCCAGCGACGCTCGAGGAGGCGAAACCATGGGAGCTTCAACGAGTAGTCATCGTGGTCGACTAGCTTGGAGAGCTCGTCTGCGCGACCATTCAGATCGCGTGGGATCCATTCGATGATTAGCCGAATCTCGAACTCCATGCATTTTTGGATGATGCCTTTGCACATGGTGGTGAGGTCGGGACTTCGGGAACCTCCTTTGCGAAGGATAAAGAACACGCCCTGGTTGTCCACCCGCACTAGCACGTGTTTCTTCCGGATTCTAGGCGCGTACGTCTGTAGCGCCCACAGCACGCCGGCGAGCTCTCTTTGTGTGCTGGAGGTTGGATGAAGGGCTCCGGGCATTGCCGCGCTGGCCTCTATCGCGGCTCCAGGGAATGTGTTCAGCGTGGCACCCCAGCTGTGGGCACTTGCGTCTACGTGGATGACTGCATCGTAGCTGTGCCGCACATGGAACGGGGCACCGTTGAAACGGTCGAACTCTTGGATCCAGAATCTCAGCTCTTCGATGGCGGGTGGGGAGAGGATGACCATGCTGGTCCATGTCGGCGCGTCGTTGATTGTTTCTAGCATGGCGTGGCTGAACGCTCGGGTGGTGGTGCCGAGTGCGACAGCCATCGATGCCAGCATGCCTGTAACTCGGGCCAATTGCCGGACTGTGACTTTCCGCTGAGCTGAGCTTGCGCGCAGTAGGGCATGGAGGGTGGCGTTGAGTGTGGCTCGCCACTCCTCGCCGATGGAGAACCGGCCGGCCTGTGTGTCAAGTTCTACGTTAAGGAACCGAAGGTGC